AAAAAATAGCCATGTTTACCACTGTGCATCCCCTCTTCTTTTAACAACAGTCTATAAATGTGTGGGAACTGAGGAGACCAGCTGGTGGAGAGGAATGGCGCCCATCTGGTCTGATAGACGTTTCTTTCTGCTCAACAGTCTAGACTGCAGGCAGCCCAGTTCAGCACCTAGGCTCTTCTTCTGCAGAGTCATGCTGTATGCAGTTTGTTTGCGATTGTCTTCCTGAAGCATGAAAAGCCTGCCTGAAAAGATGTCGGTTGGATGGGAGCATATGTTCATTTCTGAATTATGGATTAAACCTTGATTCTTTTTTTTCCCCAGTCATTATGTTGTAGATTTGCTGCTGTACTTTTGGTCATTGTCCTGTTGCATGGCCCTGTTGCAGCTAAGCTTTAGCCTGAGACAAATGGCCCCTCATTTGACTCTGAAATAGTTTAATATACAGAGGACTTGGCCGTCGACTTTGAGACTGTAATATGCGCAGGTCCTGTGCCTGGAAAACAAGTCAGAATCATCCACTGTCCATCACTGTGCCTGATTGTTGGTATGAAGCAGTTGCACTGATATGCTGTATTTGGTTTTTGCCAATCATGGTGCTGTGGATTATGGCCAAACATCTGTTAGTCACATCTATCCAAAGAACATTGATCCTGATGTCTCTGTGATTGGGTCGGATGCAGCTTTGCAAAGCTATGTTAACCTAGCTCTTCCCTGAGTGTTGCACGGTCCATTCCTGTCTTGAATGCTTTCTTTCTCACAGTACAATGATAACTTCTAGACTTAATCCTTTTCCAGAATGATGGACTGAAACAGTTGCTTCTTATTTAAGATCAGTGTTGATCTATCCTCCTTGGTATTGTATTCACTCACACTTGGATCACTTTTTTTTTATTTTTATTTTTTTTTTTAATGACATCAGAAACAGCAGTATGCGACATTACGTGATGGCAGAGCTTCAGTTCATCCTTTGTCATTTTTTTTTTTAAATAAATAGGACAGGGAAAACATATTGCATGTTTAAACTTATGACATGTAAGATCTTGAGATAAAAATAAAATTATTTGGAATTTCACAAAAGCAACATATTTGATGAAAGCAACGTGTTTTTAAAAAGTTGGGGCAAGGAGATTTGTGATTGTGTAGCATCCCGTCTTCTCTTTACATCAGTCTGTAAATGTCTGGGAACTGAGGACACCAGTGTTGGGATGTTAAGGAAATAATTTTTCCTCCACGCTTGTCTGATAGAGGGTTAAAGCTGCTAAACAGTGTAGGGTCTTCTTTGTCGTAATTTTCATTTCATAATCTGACAAATGTTTGCAGTTGCTAAAAGGTCTGGACTGCATTCAGGCCAGTTCAGCACACTGACTCTTCTACTGTGAAGCCATGCTGCTGTAGGCTGCAGTTTAGCATTGTCTTGCTGAAATATGCAATAATTTCTGTGAAAAAAGGCTATCTGGAAGAGACACTTTGCTCTAAAACATGTGTCAATCTGTGTAAGCTGCCATTTCCATAGCCACTATTGCCCCCAGCATATCATCAGAGATGCAGGCTTTTGAACTGAGTGCTGATAAGTCAGAGGTCACAGCGCCCATATGTTCTAAAAAGAATTTCAAATTGGAATTTGTCTCTTCTATTTTCCATTTTGTTGCAAAATCTTCTTTCAGATTTACATTTTACAGCATTTGTGGACTTTTTAGACAACTGTTGCTCAAACTTAAAATAAACAAATATTTTTTGACAAAATAGTAAAATCTCTCAGTTTAAACATTAAAATATGGGTTTGTGCTATTTGTAAATCATTGCAATGTGTTTTTATTTACAATTTACATAGTGGCCCAGTTTTTTTAGAACTTAGGTTTTATTATACCTCACGTGTCACATAAGTTACTTATGTTACTTTCGAGAGTTCAGCTTTTCTGCTATTATCTGCATTTGTATTCTATGTGTTTTCTTTTCCTGTTCAGAAATTCCATCCCATTTAAGTTTTGATCCTATGCCTGTTGCCTTCCTATTTTATTTACCTCAATAACTGACTTATGTGTGATCTCCAGCCTGAAAGTAAAGTTTTCAGTTTTGGACTTTCACCTGCCTGTGGTGTTCTATCATCAGTTGCAGCTAACATCATTTTTAAGTTAGCGTCTTTTGTTTAGATCTTTTAGCTTTTTAAATTGCCTTACTGTTTTGATTCAGACATACTTATATACGCCTCTTATTTACTGCAGGTGACACCTCTTGCAGTAGGTGTGAGCTCATTTGCTGCTGCAAGCTTTGACAGATGGATCTATGTGATTGGTGGTGGGCCGAATGGAAAGCTGGCCACCGATAGGGTCCAATGCTGGGAGCCAGGGACAGGCGGCTGGGAACTGAAAGCACCCATACCCATTGAAACTAAATGCACTAATGCTGTTACATTCAAGAACTGCATCTATGTAGTGGGTAAGCTGTCAAATCCCACTAAGTACATTTACTTACTTAATGTTAATGGTATTTATATGTAACTTTTAGAATATTGCAGAAATATTGACATGAGCCTTTTCCATCACGACTGCTTTTGGTTTTGATATATTTAATGTATTTTCAGACTTTTATTATGATTCTGCGTACTGATGTAGTATATTAATTTGATATCTGTCCAATTCTCTTTGTGGTCTCAGGCGGTGCCATGCATGCCATGTACTGCTACTCTCCTCTATCTGATTCCTGGACCCTTGTGACTCGTCTGGGGGAGAGGGCAAGCTGTGCCATTGCTGCCTGTAACAACAAACTTTTCATCACTGGAGGAAGAGATAACAAAAACCAAGTCATCTCCACAGTGATGTGCTGGGATGTCGCCCGGGGGGTTTTGACAGAGGAGTGCGTTTTACCAATGGGAGTCTCGCACCATGGCAGTGTGACCCTCATGAAGTCCTACACCCATATACACAGAATAACACCTGCCTCAGAGAGCCAGTGACACAGGCGTCTGTGAACAGGACTTATTTTGGTGCTAAGAGTGGTTGTAGGATTATGCATGAACAGTAAAAACATGTTCAAAGATAAGAAATATGTTTGGGGGTTTTTGCATGCATTACAATGTTTACTTTATCTTTGTTACCGTTTTGTAACAAATTAATGACTATGATGTTTTGAAAACATTGCGTTTGTAGTTAAGCTTTCTCAGAAAAGTGTGGATTACAACGTCACAACAGGTCAAAATAAGTCTACAAACACAAAAACGAAAATTAAACATTTGCTAAATCATTATCTTATAAGTTTCTTATTAACTGCCAGAGAAATTTAAAGTTGCAAATGAAGGAAAGAGCAATGCAAAAGCAATTAAATTAACTTTTGGATTTTCCTTTTATGTTTTCAATTAGCAAACTAACTCTGAACTCTACACTTTAATGCTGATTTATTAAATGCAATGGTATTTGAACGCAACACAGGTTACCTGCGTATTAACAAATAAACTGACATGTCAAACAGAACCTGTAATCCATTTCCTTGTGAGTGCTGCCATCAAGTGGTGAAAAGTACTCATGTCGTTATTAAGAGTTCCACACTTTTTGTGAAAGTCAAAACAATGCGACTGTTAAGACACGAAAACAGTCAAAGACATATATTTTTAAAGACGAACTATTGGCCGTATTTATTTCCTGGTTCTTCTTTAACGGGCCCTGAAAACCACCTGCGTTTCATTGTCACCGTTGTCGCGCCAAGGTACCGGAACCATTTAGATGGGGTGGAGCTTGTACCTGTACTCTGCACCTGCGTGTTGTTTTTATGGGACTTGGCAGCCAATCCAACTGCAGGTTTCGGTTTAGATGCAGGTGCTGTGAAGAGATTGGTAGGCTGTGGGCCAACACAGACTTGTTTGATAAGAAGAGACTGATTTAGCTGGCAGAAGAAAGTGAAAGTATCTCTAAATAAGGGACGGAGGCGACATTACTGCCTTTTCAGACGGTTTAGAAATGATTTATTGTTATTTCCTCGCCGTTTGGATCCTTACCTCGTCGGCAGGTGAGTTTGAATAGCCGGAACTTGATAGTTTCTATACTTTTCTGTGTGAATGTGTAGTGCACAAGGTGACCAGACCTCGTCACACAGGTCCGACTGAAGACACCAGGCAGAGATTAAGGTGTGCCACAAAGACTCAGTATTTTCTCACCAACTTGTAAACTGTAAGTTATTGTAATTCACAGTTTAACATAGTTTATATCGTGGGAAAAAAAGCTTCACAGGAATGTTGCTTACATTAATGTGTAGTTAAACACATTAACACAAAGGCCAGCTGCTTGCAAGCTGTAAAAGCAGCCTGGCACTAAAGCAGAGCAGTTAAACGCGAAGAAAACGTTTAACGTTTAGTATGCGCACACTGATTTGTTCATATTCTATGCCATATTAAGTCTTCAACGCCCATGACCCAAACTTATTGAGAAAGGCGAGACTCGGGTATGACTGCTATTTCCTACTGCATGGTTTTTTGAATGTTTAATTCCTGCCCAGGTAATTTTTTTAAAGCTTGACTAGTCTGCAGGTATGAAACATTTTGTGCATAGAGATAACAGACGTCTGTGGAGTGACTGTGATTTGTGTAGCTATAATTTGCCCCCCCTGTTTCTGACCTTCTTAAGTGGAAAATACACCAATACATTCATCACTGTGGAAATAGAAAGGGATTCTTCTTAGTATTTATTATGTTTATTACAGTGGCTGATTGATTGATATATTGAGAATACTCAGAGAGCTCCTTACAAACCTGTACTTCTGTGTTAAGCTTAACAACCTCTCCTACCCCAATGGATGCTTCACTGCTATTTCAATTTGGATGTCATCACATTTCCTGCATTTCTGAAAAAAACTGAGGTTTTTGTGTTTGTGTTTGTGTTTGGCCCTGACAGCTTCTCTGTGAAGCTCAGTCTTTAAATCAGTCCTTGGTATTGTTTTTGACCAGGATTTTAATTTTCAGTCTCACATATGAAAGCTCATTCAGCCTCATTTTTTTCATTTAAGAAACATTAGACTTTATTAGACATTAAGCATTCCAGTGTTAGTCTTTTTAATATTCCTGATTTCTGAGGTAAAATATTTTCTCATGTGGTAGGTTTTTCTGGTTTCATTTACATTTGTAGCGAAATCCTCATGGCACATAACATGTCCTTACATCTGATTTTTAGATATGTCCATTTCTTTTAGCTACCTTTCACTGTAAAATGTTTAGAAGTCAGCATGTAAACTTTGTAATGTTTACATGCTGACTTGTCTTTAATCATATTTTTTTTTAAAAATCTTGTTAACTCTTTTAACAATTTATCTTTTGAACTTCAGCATTGACAGATATTTCTAGTAAGTACTACTTAAACACTTTCATTGAAAGGTATTAAATAAAATATTTCATCTAATTAAATGAGATTCATTCAATTATATATGGATCATATAAAAGCATATAGAATTGTATTACACTGTACTAGCATGTTGGCGTATATTGCTGAAGTCTTGATACTGAGCTGTCACTATGCCTGTGATGTTCATAATAGTCTAAATTATTTGTATTTTGCGTCTTTCTTCACTTTTCTGTTTTCTAGTTGCTGGAAAACAGAAAACACAATATGGACTCGTGGGTGAGACAGTCAACTTCAGGACGGATATCAGAGACCGCCTTGATGACATTCTGTGGAAACACAATGGGAATAAAGTGGTACAATTTGATGGCAAAGAGCAAATTGAATACAGTCAATTTCAAAAGAGGGTCACCCTCGACTGGGGCTCTGCAGACCTGGAAATCAACCAACTGACACACAGTGACAGTGGACAATATGAATTGGATGTGGGAAAGGAAAGTGGTGTTATTCGTCTTAACTTTGAATTGAAGGTCCTAGGTAAGTTCATTTTATACTACCTTTTTAATAACTAACAATGACATCCGTGTTCTATATGCTTGTGCGTTGCTATACTAACTCTAACCTATTGCAATAAATATTGTATACATGACTGAAATGCATGCATAAAATGTACTTTTATTACAAAAAACTCCATGTTATGCAGCTACAAAATATTGGATCTCTTTGTGATTACAGTTGATATTTAATGCAGAACACTGATCAATAAAAATCATGGTTTATAAGTGTGCATTAAAGTGAAATTGCTCACATATCTGTGGACATGTGTTTGTCTAACAGTATAAATATGAAATCATGTTATAGCCAAACAAATACGTCATAATGACAATTGGAGTAGTACTTCCAATTTCCTATTCAATATGAGCAACAAAAGCGCTTTTTTATTACGTTTTCTGTTACGCTTTCTATTAAGTCTCATTCACCCAACACACATTAATATATACATCAGCCAAACCAAACACTGCCCAGGGGCTAAAGCACTTAAAATGAAGCATAGTAGCAGCTTGGAAGGCCGGAGGAACTCTTGTTGCAGACTTGAGATTTTACTTTACTGGAATCTGGTTTAAAATCTTCATTGAATTTTGCGTGAAGGCAGTCAGAGTATGAAATGAAATTGTACTTGATATGTGTACAAGGCTGAAAAAAAAGCTTTCCAGAAGGTCAGTGCATTTTGTTTTTTCATTGAACAGATGAAACAGATCACTGGTGAATATATATTTTATTATTATTGTTTTTAATATTATTTAACATTTGAACTTGTGGATAAAAAAGTTTTTCTTTTATAATTTCTAAAAAAAAATGAAAAAACCCAAGTCACTTTTATAAAACAAACATCAGTGGTGTGGAGTAACAGGTAATTCTATATTGTACTGATTGTACATCACACATTTCTAATTAAACTATTCAACTGTTTTTTATACCTATTCTGGCAAATTATTAGTTCTATTTATAGCTACATTAAATTTTCAGCTGAACACCAATTAGTTAACTCTGACTCTGCTTCTGACTTTCATAACTGTAAAAAAATATGAAGGATATTCTGAAGGATTATGAATGCTTTCTCTATTGTTGCATTGTACCTTAAGGATAAAAGCTCTTGGTGCTTCCACCAAAACGTCCCACAGCTCATCATGATAACAACAGCTTATCTCTTAATTAGTCACTTATCGGGCATTTTATTCTACTCGTATTTGGTTCAGAGAGACTCTGCCCTTTAGAAAGCTAGTTAGTTACTTGTTAAGCAGCCTAACACCGTATATACATAACCTACATTGGATTGTAATTCTAATTAATATTAAGGTAGTGTCATATACAAGCTGCTATTATGCATTTTCAAACCAAATGTGTTGTTGTCAGTCCAGCCTTAGCTTCCTCAGCCTCAAACCAGAAGCTGGTGAGTTTATATCTCAAACTCAGGGCCAGTAAATTATTAAACAAGCATCAGCTTGAAATGATTTAGCCTTTTTCACACTTGGATAATTGACAGCAACACGATGATACACCAGATGATTGTATTAATTCATGAATACATTTGCAAGTCTATGCAATATATATTGTCAGAAGATTTACTTTTTATGTATTTTAATTTCAGATTTGCTTTTTTGTATTTTTGCATGTATATAGACAGAGTAACCAAGCCCACCATAACCTGTGACATGAGCGATGGCAGCAGCTCTGACAAATCAGGAAGTGAAGCCACACTGATGTGCTCTGCACACTCATCACAATCCTTAAACTACACGTGGAGCCAACCTGGAAAAATTCAGCCTGGCCAGATATTATCGATACCTCTAGGGACAGAACATGATGATAAAGTATACAGCTGTACTGCGAGCAACCAATTGTCCAAAGAAATAGCTACATTCACTGCAAAGGATTGCTACCCTGGTAAGATTTTACTAATTAGCTGTAATTAATGGATTGAATTGGGCATTTTCAGAAACCATTTGATACAAACTGCTTTTATCAGTGTGTTACGACCCTTCAAGGCCTATCCCACCAAAGGCCACTGGTTTAATTGGGAAACAACACCTAAACTACTGCACTGATAATAACAGTGACTTTAATCTCAAAGAATGCAGTTTTCTGTTAACTTTACTGTAACAAAAATAACAATATACCTGGACAATGATGTGCAGAAGGCACAACCTACTGTGTTATCAGTTATATTAGTGGAAAAAGATATTTTATTAATTGCATGTTTGAAAATTCATATACATATCCATTTGGTAATAAGGGAGACTGCAGTGTTCATGTTGTCTAAAACCTCTGGTTTTATGGAAATATAACTGCATTGGAAATGTGTTTGACTGTTATTGAAGTTGTTCTATTTAGATTTCTGTGTTTCTGTGCAGTTGGAGCCTCAACAGGACTCATTACTGGACTGATTATTGGCGTGATAGCACTACTCTTGTGTGTTTTGGGTGCAGTGTTCTGTGCAGTAAAGCATAAAGGTAAAATAAAATAACAACAGTTTAAGAAATGAAAACTTCTTGAGAGGAATGGGTCCAAAAATACTAACTTATCACGACAAACCAAGTGATACACAGGATATATGGTAGATTCAGAGAAACTGTATATCCTGTCTACGATGACCTGGATGACTGAGAACCTTCACAGACATGTATATCCTGTATGTAACATAAGGTTAACAGACTTGACTTGATAGTATAATACATTCTACTGGACTGATGTTTTTTTTATTTGGCAATCTAAATACTAATTGGATATTTATAAATGGATTTATGTAGAGTATTGTTGAAAACCTCTGTGTTTAAGTGACTTTAACCTTCATAGTGTAACTTAAGAAAGAAATCACATTCCGTATTTATTATTATTTCTCCTTTTTCTTGATTCCAGCATGTTTTGCAAAAAAGGAGAAAACCGCTGCGGAACAGCCACATAGTGGTAAGGAAAAATGTCTAATCTTGTGTGTTTTGTTTTGTTAGTGACAAATATTTTTGACATCATTAATTTAATGATTACTTTTACAATTCAGTGATGAGAGACAATTATGCAGTGCTGTGCAGCGGTGTTCTGAACAACAAACAGACAAAGGCCTAAAACCTGTTGTCATTTCAATATCACCTATTATCAATGATTTTAGAGGAATTTATTAATACCATACATTTTACATGTATGAACTAACTCAGCAAAAAAGAAGGTTAAATGAGCAATCTTTAAAAAAAAAAACCTAAATAATGAAGAAATGATAAATGGTCTATAACTAGACCAATGGGGATAATCAGCTGATTATTTCGACTTTGTTGAGATAAACAATGAAGAGGTTACCTGGGAAGGAAATTATTTTTTCTTTTAATTTTTTCTTTTAAATAAGTTACTTTTTTTGTATTTCCATCTATTTCAGATCATGAATCTGATCAACCATCAGACCCTCTTCTTCATAGAAGAGAAACAAGGCCCTGTTCCCAACGGCTTCACCATTCGGAAGAAACTGTGAAGAATAGCAATTCTGATCACAAAGATGAAAAACACAAGAAGTTGGACCCACAAACTGGAAAAGGTAAAAGTAAAAGTAGCTCAATGTTTTTCCAGTTCTCTGATTTGGAGTGTTTTATACGCCTATTTTAGCTTCAGTGAAAAAGCGTAATAGCCAGAAAAGTGTATCTCACTCTCTCTGTGTGTATGTGTGTGTGTTGAGTTTCTGGTTCATGTAATCTATTCTTTGCTTCAGCTGAGGGATTAAAAGACAGAAGATGCAGACAGTTTGTTAGAAAAATTATTTTTGTGCAGAAATACATTGATTAAAAATAGTAAGATTAGAAGTAGTATCAAAAATAAAACTTCAACAGATATCTTTATGTGTATGGTCAGGACTAGGACTTACTCGTTATTAGTGATTAATTTCCATACTTTTTAGAAAACAGCATATGTACCAAACTAGTACTTGAAAAAAAAATCTTTACCAGTTACACACTATCAAAATTCTTCAGCTTAGTAAATTGTCTTAGTAAATTGCTTAGAAAGTTTCTGCAGTTTTTCCAATCGTGCTGCTGATGTCTCATTTCACATGTATCCACTTTTCTCCCCTGCTAAGCTCAGTTTTTCAGTTTGTCACCTTATTAAATACATAATTTTGGGTTAGGTGCTGCACTGAAGCTCACCACACTACAGTTTTTAAACATCTTTTAGCATTTTCCTAGCAGATACAGTTGACAAGGATTAGTTTTAACCTTGTGTTGGCTGGACTTAATTTCTATGAAGTCATTCATTGCTGGTGGAGAGGTGGCATGGACCAAATAGAATAGAATAGAATAGAATAAACCTTTATTATCCCACAGATAAGAAATTTCGGTGTTACAGAGCTCTTACAGCAAGGGAAAATAAAATATAAAAGGAAGACACAAGGTGGTCCTATAAATACGTAGCTGATTTACTGTTGCAGACATTTATTTGCATTGATTTATCAAGACTGACCTTCTGTGTAGAAGACATATCTAGATTAGTATAATATGTATAAGCTGACACATAACATTACCTTGTGTACCTTTTCTTTTCACTGTCTCTCCCTATAATAAACAAAGCAGGTCACAGTTATATGGAAATATTCTGAAAACCCCCCCAAAACGGCAGCTATAAGAAGACACTTACTAAAAATGCAGCTGATGCACCTGGAGTACAGCTAATCGTAACCTAGCCAGCCATTGCTTAATAATTTAATAAAATCTCAAGTTTTATTAGTTGCTCTAAGCCAGACCTTCCCAAAGTTTGGGGCCCGCAGAGCCATTGCGCTTGGACACTGCTAGCACGGGGCGCCCACACAAACGCAAAGCAGGAGATGAAGCATCGCTGAATATGTTTCCAAACCAACTTCATTCTAAGCCAAAGACTAGAAAATATGATGAAGCATATCTTCCCTTTAGTTTCACCTGCACAAGTGCCGAGGTAGGTCTCCCCTGCATAATTTGTTTTCCCTTCGTCAGGAGCACGTGCTGGACTGTTCAAATAACGGACAAACAGTATCCCACATTCTTGATTTTTAGTTCACAAACACTTGTTGTAATGACTAACTACTCTTGACATTTTGGAGATGTTAGCTCTTTATACAGTAAAGTTACAGCGGGATACAAATAACATCAGGCTCATCCTGCCACGATTTGTTCCCCCTGTCTAAATCACGGACAAACAGTATCCCACAGCTGTTTATGTTTTTAAACCCATTTTGCACAGAGAGAGATTTTTTAAAAAATGTATTGATAGCAATGTTGAATATTATTACACAGGAAAAAAACTACTACACGTAAAATAATTATACCATGACGCCTCTGCCTTTCTAAATGGAGGGACAGTAACTGCGTGTGTGTATGTAAGCGTGTAATACCTGCTATGAGGGGCCATACAAGCCTAAATTCATTCTTTCACTCTCACACACATACATTCTTCTTTCGCACACATATATTTTCACTCTCACATACATATATTCTTCTGTCAGACACACGTATTGTCACTCTCACATATTTTAATTAAATTTTTATATTTAGATATTTTTATTCTCATGTTTACACATATTTAGCACACACATTGCAATATTGTGCTCTCTTATACTTGTATTTTAATGTACATATTTACAAATTGTCACTCTAACATACATGCATTTTCATTTATGCATTCCTACATTTTTCTCTCATTTACATGCATTCAAAATGCATTTAATCTCACAAATAATATGTGTAAGTAAGAAGAAAATGCATACATGTCTGAAGAAAATATGTATGCAAGAGAATAATGTATGTGAATGAAAGAGTATAGTGGAAACAGAAGGAGTTTAATGGAAACGGAAGGCTGGGTGTCTGTACCGCTGTGATTGGCTGAGAAGCACGCGCGGGTCACTTTCAAGTGTCTGACAGCATGGAGGGGGGAGAAGAAACTCGAGTTCTTCAGCAAGCTATCAGGGTGTTAAGAAAGATTTTATCATCTCCTGAAACGGTCACATCGTTGTCCTCGTCACTTGGGGGATGGGGGGGGACGTTTTTCTTGTAAAACAAAGGGGGGGTCTAGCAAAAAAAGTTTGGGAACCACTGCTTTAAGCCATCTAAATGGCTCCTAATGGTGAAAGCCACACAAGATGAGAGGTTTTCAAGATTATTTTCTTCAAAAATGTTTTTGTTATTTATAATCACTGATCAGTGGTATGATATTGCAGTAGATTCATTTTTTTCTGTTTGTAATTCATTCCTTACAGTGAAGAAGATTGTTCAAAACATTGAACAAGGACTGATAGGTAATTGTTGTTTTTCCACTCATGCTAATTGATTGAACCAGTGAAATATAATAACCAACTTTTTGGGGAAAACAACTTGTTTTATTATCTCTCTCTCTCTCTGCCATCTCAGATCCAGTCTCTATAGAAAATGAAGTGGAAGATAATAGGAAAAAAGAAGACAGTAAATCAGATGACATGACAAACACCATTTCTAAACAGACAGGTGCAGAATCAACAACAATAAACTACTTTTTTTTTTCCTGCTACAAAAAGAGTCACACCGTTGTTTTCTTGGGAAATGGCTTCTTGACTTTCTTGACAAATTTTTAAGATTGGTTTAGTCCAAAGCTCTTTTTACTGTTTCTTCCAGAGTCAGAGAAAAGGGCAGATGAGCAAACATCGGTTTCACTTGAAAATGGTATTTGTCCATCTGCAGTCCAGCCAAATTCTCCTTTGAACAACGAGGCACCTGTTGCTGCGGAAGATGTCAACTCACAACAGGCCCTTGGAATAAAGAAAGAAAATCAATCAATTGGCTCAGGTGAAAAAAAGAGTGTTGTCCACCATTTCTGAGTGCAGAAACAGTGGTAATAACCCAATAGGTTTATTCTATTCATCTGGACGTAGTGTTTTCAGTCAGAGACAACTGAAACCAGCCCACTGAATGAACAATTCTATTCAGTTCAGCTATTGAAGAAATGTACTGTTTAAGATTGGGAAAACCTGCAGTCAGCTGAGACTGAAGAAGTCACTTGGATGAGTGACAAAACATTTCTCCCACTGAAAATGCTGCGTCCACATGAACAGAATCAACTTTTTGGGTTCTACATACCTTGATGATTGAGCATGCATAAAGACAGTAGTAATAACTAAGGTTGGGCGATATGTAAAACTTTTCCAACCGGCAATCATCAGTCCAACAATTGCAGATGGGCGATAGTTTGGCGCATGCGCAGACTTTTGATGGGTGGGGCAATGTAATCATGCATGGACTGATTTGCGTGTTTACAAATCAGTGGTTTACAAATGGGGTGGCTGTGGCTCATGTGGCAGAGCAGATCAGCTACTGATTGGAAGGTTGGTGGTTCGATTCCTGGTTTCCCCAGTCTGTAATATCCTTGGGCAAGATATTAACCCCAAATTGCCCTCCGATCCGTTCATCAGTGTGAATTTGTGTGAATGTTTATTAGTTGCACTTGTGTTAAGAAGTGCTTGTGTGAATGGGTGAATGAGGCATGTTGTATAGAGCGCTTTGAGTACTCCGGGAGAGTAGAAAAGCGCTATATAAGAATCAGACCCTTTACAACACATTTATTTTTATCAGCCACCTTTGATTTTCTGACAAAAACAAGATGTTAATTAAATAAAAACGAATGCATGGGAAATAAAATGATGATAATGATACTGACATTTTTGTCAATGACAAAAAAGATCTGTAGAAACGAGGTCCAATGAGAACTAATTAAGTTGTGTAGAAAGGTGGGACCAGTTTAGAAGTAATGCAGTTAGAATGATCAGCATTTGATCTGCCCCTGGCAAATGGTACAGCACAACTAGCTCCCATGTTTCTTGTTTCTCATGAAAATGCAATAAACAAAGGACACATTTGTCACAGTTCAAAAACTGATGAAAACAAAACAAACCTTTAAACGATATATTTTAGTCAAGTGAATCTTTAGGTTTTCAGTCAACTAAAAATAGACTAAAACAGAAATAACTGAAATGCCTAAATCACGCTAAAACTAAATCAAAGTTAAAGTGTTAAATGTAACACTGATCTATGGGGATTGAGTTGTTCATGGAGTCACCCTAAAGTACTGCAGCAGTTTAACGTACTACATTTTTGGCACTTACTGGTTTCATTTCTTTAATGTTGATAGTTTCCTTCTAGCATTTGGTGACTGCTGGAATTTTGTATAAACTTGTGGCTTCATGTCTAAACTATATTTTTAAAGTACGTCAAGAAACAAGCTTTTCATCACCAGCAACCTAAGTTTCATGTTTGATCCTAATTAGCACATGAAAAGTTATAATAGTGAACATGGAAAAGATTAAACATTGTAAGCATGCATACATTAACCTAAAACATCATTAACCAAACTAACTTAGCAGCACTACCACCTACTAACTCCCAACTCCCAAGGCAGCTTCT